TGAAAAAGAGAGGATAGAATACTGAAAGAGATTTGAGAAGAAGGAAACACTTGAACACCGGACGGTCATCGACATCATTGGCGTCGTAATATGCATTCAAGATGAACCACGATCCAACGATTTGTCGCCAATACTTTTACTGTAGTCAACGTAGACATCGTATCAGGTACTCTCTTTGATGTTAAAAATTTCTTTTTATCGACTCGTTGCGATTATTTGATTAATTCTGAAAATAAATGGACACTAATAAGTCATTTGCGGACAGCGTTGGATGGACAAGGAAAATGTTTATAATGATATTAACCGTTGACCTTTATAGATCATCTAGATTATCTTTAATCTCTGTGAAGTCTTTTTTCCAATTTGCCTCGGTAACAGGCTTAACTGTTCATAGATTGAGCCGAAAGGAATCACCGATCATCGACGAGTTGCTTTCCTTGAAAAATCAAGTTGGTACGTCCCTGAAACTAGACGGTTCTATGATCAAGGACCCGAAACTTACGACGATCGGGTTTGGAGACAAATCATTGAAAAGGAGAGACATCGTTTCAAAAAAGGAAAATAATTGAATAACAGTATCAATTTTGAATTAAGGTTGCCACCTAATGAATTACGAATCGCTTCTAAACATGGTATACCATCCTACTTGTTGTATCTACTTGTCAAAGCTAAACATGTTCCATCAATTTTTTTTTTTTTTTTTTGTTCACTATACGTAGCATACGCTGTTAGTATACGCGTTACGATGAAGGCTTCCTTGGAGCACGAAATCTCTTTCGTTCCCACGGTCTCATTGTATTGCATACTATGATATAAGGAATTAGTGGAACAATCATTGAAAGTATAGATATCTAACTCGGAGAACGCTGTTTTTCCAGCGAAAAGAAACATGGTTTTTTTTATTTCCGTGCTTGGCCGGTGAATTTAGTCCAGCATGGTGACTATCGCACCGAATCTACTGTTCGCGTGCTTCTAGTCTCGTGTATTATTAGGATACACCACTAAAGATACCGTGGTCATTAGAAGTGGTCAGTTTATTGATTAATCGATAGAACCTTTTTACTCTTGCTTTTCTATCCTTGAGGTTTCAGGACTCGAGTATTTGTGACCGAACTATTTTCAGGATCGTAGCCCAATCAATTATGCAGCGTGAAATCGGCCTCAACGCATTTCTATACTTCTAGCGTTAATAATTTTCAACATGCTAATCGTAACAGGATTTTCTTCGTCGTTTTGTATAAGCAATAATTATAGAATGTTCGTTCTAGATAAACCTAACAACGGTCGATTTGTGCCGAAAGGGATCTCCATCTTGATCGAACGGTAATAAGGATTCGTTATCTAGAATCGAGACAATCTTCGTATTCATACGGGTATGAATAATTCACGAATCGTCGTCTAAAACGTCAGGAGAATTGCGAGATTGGTGCAGTGAAGGTGGCAGAGACATACTAACTCTTCGTATTCCCTACGCAAAACAAGGTCGAGTTGCGCCTTTAAGTTGGAACCGCGTAGGAATGTTCAATCTCTTTTAAGTATTCATCTCTCTATTCCGTGATAACGGTACATGGATGATTCTCGATCTTTCATCGTAACAATCGTAGCTTTTACTTGTTGTTCCACTGTTATTATAAAGTTGTTGGTTCTTCATTTTCTCTTTTTCTTTTTTACATGCAACTTACGTTCTGCTTCATATTTATTATAAAATGAACAAATGATCTCGCAGTTGCACAATTGAAAGTGTAACATTATTTTCATTGCAACAACATTCTGTGATGATAAGAAATAACATTTAAAAGTCACAGTCACTTAAGTAGACAGATATTCTGTGTAGTAAATCTCGTGTTCGATGTGTTGCGCGATTGAATCTTGATATAGGTTTTCATTTGCCGCAACGCAGTCTCAATCGTGAATTTTCTTTGCTAAGAGCGACAAATACGATACAATTACGTTCGACCCAGTTTTATGTCAAATCGATATGACCTTTAATATGATTGTTTTACATACTCTTATCACGAACTGTCACACAATGATATGTTTAATGCCTGTTACTAATACCTGTAATGAGTACATGTATTATTTCGTTTTATGTACACTTCTCAAGCGATGATCTGTAATTCTCTGATTGATTTATCACTTTCTTTTTTAAGATGTTTAATTTATTTATACAAAACAAGTTAAATAAATGCAATAATGTATTAATTATTTTCTTGTTTTCTTTTAACTTCTTTCTCTTTTCTAAATGAAACACTGTTTTTTTTTTTTTTCTAGAGTATGTGACAGACAAAGAGATGTTGATAGGGATGAGGATAGAGGAGAAGATGAGGATGAAGATGCTAATCCATTGGGGAAATGGCCACATGCTCTTAGTCCAGCCTTGGCGTGCCTCAGTTGTACCCTTGGTCTTTTCAATATAAGTAGATTTTCTATTCTTAGTGTACAATTCGGAGGTAAGTATAGAAACTACCATTAGATATGTACTTGTACGTTACTCACTTTTAATTGTCTTATTCTTTCAGCAAATTTCATTGTACAGTTTCTGATTTTGTCTTTGGTATTGGGTATCCCACTTTTGACATTACACGTATGTCTCGGTCAAAGATTGGCGGCTGGATCCGTAGATATGTGGAAAATTTCACCCCTCTTCCAGGGTGTTGGTATAGCTCTTCTAATTGCACAAGCATTCATCGGTATTTACAGTATCGTTGGTGTATCCTGGATGTTCGTGTACTTTAGGTCTGTTGATTTTATGATAAACTTCTTGATAAAATGATAAATTTTTAGCAAGGAAATGTATGATACAATAATGGCCTGTCTATATTTTTCTAGGGATTCGTTTATAACGAAGCAGGATAAGTACCGATGGGCAGAACCGTTTTCCTTGTACAGAGAAGATAAACCTACGCAGAATAATAGTAATTTGCATAAATTATACGAGACAGTACCAGATTATTTTAGTGGGGCTGTTTTGCAAAGACATCATTTAAACGAGTCAGATCCTGGTGTCGTAACGTTAAAATTTCAAGTAGCTTTTAATTTAGCTGTTGTATGGATGATCGTGTTTGTATCATTAAGCAAAGGTAATGATTTTGCTAAATGATCTGTTTCTTTTTGTTGTTTTCAATATTTGATAATTCTTCGACAATTATCAGGTTTGAGATCCTATGGCAAAGTAGTATACGTTTTTACATTGGTGCCTGTATTTGGTACTTTGGTTCTTTGTACGAAATTACTTGGTCTCACGCCACCAGGCTCCATACATCAACTTTTTCCTGCCACAGTATGGACTGAGTTTTTCATTAACGGCAAATCATGGATAGCAGCATCCATTGAGGTTTTCCTCACTTGGGGATTACTTGGTGCAGCTGCTATGCAGGTACAGTAATTATGACGTACTGTTAACGTTAACATTCCGCTAACGCAATTCTTACTTGAAAATATTATCGTTTTTCTAGATAGCTGCTCATAATAAGCACAAGCATCTATTACAACGAGACACAAGTTTAGTAATTGTATTAACTATCGCAGTTCTACTTCTCGCAGCTTTTCTGGCAAATACTTGCGTACAAGTTCTGAAACATCACGGATATATTTACATACCTAGTTCGTTTGGTATGTAAAATGATATGAAAATTTATTATCAACTGATTTATTATCAAGTTATGTTTATGCGTAATATATTATTCCTGTTTTAGAAAGAATATCATCATACATGTTTATGAGACCCGTGAACCAGCCAGCACCACCGGGATACAGCAGTACACCAGAAAGATTTATGGCACATGCATCGTTTATTGTTGGAGAACGTGTAACTCGTCCTGGTGCAGACTTCAGCGTTGAATCTGGTTATCAAGTCTTGAGATTTTCGACTGAATTAGTTCCTGCGACGTTGGCGTTACTAGGCACTGAGCAAGTGTCGCCGTTCTGGGCAATCCTTTTTTATTTTATTCTTATACTATTTGGAATAGCTCAACAGGTACGCAATTTAAAACATGACAAACCAAAGAATTGAAGAAATAGAATTTTTTAATATTACAGCTAGCAATATGGCATTGTGTGATAACTGGTATCATGGCAATCAATGCGAAAATGATGAAGTTATGGGAAACTACTATTACATTCTTCAGTTGTGCTTGTGCTTACATATTAGGTTTACCTATGGCTACCGAGGTAAATATAATTATTTACATTTATTTAGTAGTTCTTGATTTTATATTTTTATATTTTTATATTTTACATTGAATTTTGAAATAATTATATCATTATTGCCGAGAATAACTTAAGTTATTGCTGTTTTGTTCAAGATATTTAGAATTCTGTTCTTATCAGACAAGCTCTGTAATGTTTTATTTACACAGATAACAATTATCACTTCAAGTTCTAACCTGATTAAGCATTTTATCAGTATCGGTAGAGTCACCGAACGTTTCAGAAAATGAGTAATCGAGTTAATTCTATAGTACGGCGAAGCGTAGCTTGTTACTTTTGCAATGAATTTCTAGAAGAAAAATATCTACATGATCACGTGAAACATTGTGGATCGGTCTTAGAAGAATGTCCTTTCAAATGTGGAGTTTACGTGCCTCGAAATATTATGGAAGGTCATCGAAAAACATGCAAAAATATTACTAAAGAGAATAATCAATTCAAGGAAGTCCAAGATTCTTTATGGAGAAATAAAGTATTCTCTGCTCTAACATTACTTCGTTCTGTAATAAACAACGAGGAAAAGGAGCGCAGAACTCTTCAGAATACTATGTCTCAATGTTTGAAGTTACTAAATTCTCAACAAGAATCGATTGATTCTTTGCGATTTCAAATTTCCGAGACAACAGAAACATGTCGCCAGTATAATACAACGTTAAATCAAAGATTAAATGATTTAGAAGTGATATATGATTGCATGGAACAACGCACCAGTTCAAGTTTTCAAAGTATCTCGGAACAACTGAAACTTTTACACGATCAGTTGATCAACGAACAAAATAAGCATGATAAAATATTTAATAATTGGTGTTTAGAATTAAAAGATCTAAAAACTTTTATTAAGGAAGAGAGCGTACACGTAAATAACATGTGGCAAGAGCAACAACAGTTAATTCACGATCTTAAATTAGAATTAGAAATGAGATGTAAAAATTCGAAGGAATTAGTAGATCAGCAGAAACATGTAATCGAGAAAATAAAAAATTTAGAAGAAGAAATAGAGCGGCAATCAGAAACCGCAACCAATCAGAAAAGTAACATTAAAGAATTGAAATTTCAAATGAAAGAAAATTTAAAGTATCTGGAGGAATTGATCGCGGATAATTCAAAATCTAATAGTCCGGAATTTCTTGAATGTCCATGTAAACAGGAATGTTTCGAACAATGTTCAACTAATGGTCGTCTTCTATGGAGAATTGATCGTTATAAAGAAAAAATGACCGAGGCAAAAGAAAGTGACTGTGTGATTTACAGTCCAAAATTTTTAAACAAAGAATATGGATATACTTTAAGAATGAAGCTATTTCTGAATGGTATAGGACAGTGGAAAGATCGACACATTATCGGATGCTTAGAAGTTGAAGCCGGAAAATGGGATCCACTGTTAGATTGGCCTTGTGTTCTTAAAGCAACAGCCACATTGAGAAATCAAGAAAATCCAGCAAACGATATAAAAAAAATCGTTAAAGCTGTAGGGCAAGACAAATCGAATCCTAAGGATGTGAATAAAGAAGCTGGCATTTATATGTTTATCCCACACACGACTTTAACTCGATATTCTGGATATGTTCAAGACAATACACTGTTTTTAGATATTCAAGTAAAAGATATAAAAACTAGTGCTTCTACGCCATCTTTAGCGTCATAAGTAACCGAAATATCAAAGAAAAATAATATAGATGTCGATACGCGTATCTATAAATTGTACAATATTATTATTCTTAAGTAAGAGTGAAAGTAGATTTTATTTGTTTCATAGAAACTTAAACTTTTGTTTATAGTTGGGCATACACGTCGTATATTATCTAGACTACACAATTGGTGGTACTTGGTGGATAATGATTTTATACTTGGTGCAAGTTGGTGCTGTATTCGCAGTACGGGGACGACCACATAGTGGTGAAGCGGTAGTAGCCGAATTATTTCCTCCAACTGGTCGATGTCTCAGACACTGGGCTGGTCCACTTTTGTCATTCACGTGGAATGTCGTACTACCTGTAATTCTTATGGTATGTTTTTACCAAAATATTTCTTATTGTATAAAATCACAGTAATTGTGGACGAGTAATTGATTTGAAAAATCAACAGATTCTTAGCATTACGATATTTAAAAGTGCTGGATTTCGAGAACTTTACTCCTATCGGCGTACCGCTAGAGAATACTGGTCAATTTGGGCAAAACAACTCGGAGCTACGATTCAATTAGTGCCAATATTAACAATACCGGCAGTGGCTATCATACAGACATGTCGATACTTGAACAATGGTCCGCCTGATATATTTGACGTAAGAATTCGATTGAATTTTAACAAACTAGTAACCGAATTAAATAATATTTCTTACTTTTCATTCTCTAACGTACTAATTTACACATTTTACATCAATTTTTGTTTATGCTAACATTAGAACAATCAAATGGAAGTTAATGTAAATCACTGTGAACAATGCAATGGTGTAAGTTTTCTTTTCTAATTGCTATACATCTTATATCCACCGTCTTTATAAACAAAAAAATGTTTCTTCTTATTTCATCTATATGTAATGTATTCCATTATCAGCAAAAAAAAAAATCCTAATTTTACAGAGAATTCAATTGTTGTATCGACCATCTTTGGAACCGGATGATTCTCGAGACGGGCAGACGCATACTGGGAACGATATGACTACCAGTATTCACGGCAATGGTATTGTGCATGCGACAACCGAAGTACCATTTGAAGATCCACCACCAAAATACACACCTCCTCCAAGTTATACTACAGCAACGGGAGCGAGAATAGCAAAAATGTTACGGCAAAGTTTTCGAAGAAGTGTACGTCGAATAGCGAATGTGCTCGGCGAGAGCAGTACACCGAGACAGAGACCGGCGCTACAACCTCCACCTCCCGATTACGCCACTGTACTTGTAGAAATGAATCAAAGTAGACAAACGCAAGACGTAACGATTCACATAACTGAAATAAGAAACGAGAACGCCAATTCGAACATTCAAAATAATGCTACCGAAAGACACAGACCTAACACGATAGATAGAACGATGAGAATCGGCGCGGTAGAACGTTCAATAGGAAGAACGCATTCAACACTCGAAAGATCTCGTCGATCATGTATGACTTCATCGAGCAGTTCGAATTTGACTGCGGTTGATGTGGCTAATTTACTTCGTAGTAGCATTAGAAGAGGGACTACGCGAACTCAACAGTCTCTGCGTAGAAGTTTTTGCCACGACGAGTCGACGGTAGCAGCGTCTGTTGAGAATCTAGTCGAGGCTGCGGCGCCGATCGGTGAAGAATCTTTGGTCCTTCCGAAGGACGTGTCTCTAGTCTCCAATGAACAGGCTAACGATAATAGCGACGATAAGAAGACTGCCGAAGAAACGGACGAATCCGTTTCTGTGATATAGACTATATCTTTCTTTCGAGCCTTTACGAAGAATAATATGACGGTTATTTAATTTCTGCTGCATAGTGTTACGGTGATTTATTCCTTGTTTCATTTATATCAATATGCATCTCTGCAAACTATTCAATATGATATAATATAAACAAATTGCCGATGATATCATCGATGATATCAATAAATGAAAAATTAATTTTATCTTTTAGACTGAATTCAGTATTTTCTAATCTTGTCACATAAATAATAGCATAATCTCTTATCACTTAATTACTGTGACGCGCAAATGAAAATCGGATAGCAACGTGCAGTGAAACATATCATAAACTTGTTTTGTTACTTACTACAATAGACATTGATTTTAGATGTGTACGTTAAACTTTATTAATGTTGCTTTTAACCAGTTTATTTTTAGTATTTTGGCATTTTTAATCAAGACTGTGCAACTAAAATGTTTGTGTAATATATACTGCTGTAACTTTTTAGTAGATTCATGATATTAGTGTACATAATATTTTAACAAATCTTAAATTCGCTTACTAAGCATTTTCTTCGTTAACTATGATGGCTGTTTAGTGTTACAATAATCTAATCCGTCCAACATCCATCAAAGTCTACATATTAATTTTTGAGCAGTGGTTAATATGCAGGCTAGACCAGTTAATTGGGATCACTTAAATATTTATATATCTTGTTATATAAAAATGCTTCTCAGGACATTCACTCAGTACGATTTTTTTTATTTTTTTTTTAAATATTAAGTTACTTATATCAAAAAATGCTTAGTTAAAAAATATTACAGTTTTAATTTTACTAAATTTGTGTATGAACAAGAAGGAAAGCACAATAAGTACACTATGTGCCCTTTTTCTTTCATACATCAAATTCTGAGATTAATGTTATTTTTTTAAACTAAGTAGTTTTATATATAAGTACCTACCTATACCTTTTATGTATAGAGAACAAATAATCATATCAACAGAAAAAAGGTATACCTCTATAGAATTCCATTGAAAAAGATTCCAATGAGCTTACAATCTTGTAAAAAATTATTATTTGAAGAAATTTCCTCTGGTACGTGTATTTTCTGATATAATACAACCTCCTGAGAAACAACATACTTTCAAACAACAAAAATTAGATAAGGCAGATGTTTAGGTGATACTATGTAGCTGATTCACTTTGTATATACAACGTATACATTTATTTTAAAAACATATGGAAAATAAAGAACGGAAAATTTATAATGCAATCGGAATTATTTGTCAGATAATATATACGTATAAAAAATGAAAAATTATCGAACTAATTAGAAATTTCAATTTTAATTACATAATTATGTAGCATATATATATATTACCGTACAAATATTCTAATATTTCATACGTGTAATTGCTATACCTGATACTATGGACCATAATAAAATTTTTATGTTCTTTTTTAAATTTATAGTGCTTCTATGACATCTAATCTAATAATGATCATATTTAAACAACGTCGACACTTTAAATATTGATATTATATTTAATGTCGCATAATTACATAAATAGATATTAATATAATTGATGAAAGCAACAAAGTACAAAGCATTTTAACGGTACTCATTTTGCTTTTTTAATAACGCTTGTAAACCGTATATTAAGTTTTTTTATTATATATCATTCAAATAATATAGATCTTACAATACTCTCGTACTTACACTTAAGCAAACATAACGTAACTTTGTTACAGAAAGCGATCTTTGAGTTTAAACGTATAGAAAACTAAATAAACTATATATATATTACAATGCCGTTATTGGAACATCAATTCTAAAACGGATGTCTTGCATCATTTTCAATTACATTAATTATCAAGTATAATGTTTCATTTTAATACACGTTTATAAAATATTGTGCTGAACATTTTTTTTTAAGCGATAAATAATATCTTTACTAAATATTTAGTTAGTACGAGAAACGGGCAAACTTTTTATTTTTATCAACGATCGACTGTGAAACTATGTGAGTATTGACAGAATACTATATTAGTTAATTAAAAATTTTTATAAATAATTAAAGATGATTAAATTAATAAATATCTTCAGGAAACAGTACAATATATGTAGAGACTTTTTACTACTTCAATTCTAAAAAGTTCGTTTACCCATTTCTTCAATTTTATCGTTAGATTATTTGTTAAATATCGTAATTTGCTAATTTTATAAGTATTAATTCAAAGCAGTAGATGTAAGAACAGCGACTCCTCTCTCGTAGAAACTATGAGGATCTTGACTAGGAGCAATATTTAAATCAACGGTAAATAATAATTCAGTACGTGTGCTGTTAAGATAAACTGGTAAAGACAATTTTCCCTTTCGTACATCATCGGTGGTAGATCGTATCCACCTCAACATGGTAACTGGTAAATCGGTCATTATGGTTGAAGTTAAATACAACTGATTATCTTTACATTGCGCTCCTTGCAATTTAAGACCGGTTACAGCAAACGAACAATCATCGGTAGCAATATTGTCACTGTCTCCTATAGTTACATCGAGTTGAAGTTCCTCTAGTGACCAACTATTTGCTTGTGCTATGCACTGTCTCGTTGCCGTAATATATGCTTCGGGATTCAATAACCCGCCAAGCCAAACAGGGAAACTCTAGAAAGAATATGATTATAGGAAATGATTTTGCTAATTAACGCAAAATGTTTAAAGAAACAAACCTTAATTTCTTTAGCTCCACCTTGAGATACTAATCGTGAAACTTCTTGCAATTGTGACACTCTGTGACTGAAGTCTGTTATCCACTGTATGACAGTACATCCCCTGGGTACTGTGTATCGTCTCCAACCACCAGGTAAAATACCTTTCACTAATTCTGACAACATAGTTCTATGATAATTGGTTTGCTTCTTTTTACCCTGTAATGAAAAGATATTTATATTTAAAGATCATATTAAAAGTTTTTGCAGTTTTTGAATTCTATTCACGTTTGATACGCTTCTTAAATCAAGTAACGTCAATTGTTTCTATATGGTTTTGAACAATGAATATAATAATTTTTCTGATAATAGAACAATCATATCAATTTGAAGTTGAAAAAATACCTGACAAATTAAAACAACGTCTTCTAGATCATGAATTACGTCTTGTAACAATTTAGCTCCGCTGTTGACCTCTCTTTCAAAATACCTGTAGAGAGGATCTTTTATATTCTCTACAGTTCTTTTCAGAGTTGGTAAATTTTTCGGAAGTAATTGCAACCATGTTGATGCTGAATTATGTAATGTTCTCATCCATGATGGCCTGCCATCAGCTTCCGCTTCTCTAGGTGTATCCAACGATTCCTCGTTAGAATACGCTAACTCATCTTCGTCTTCTAATTGTTGCATTTTTAGTAATTTAGATACCAAGTCTGTACCTCTCGTCGTGAGTAATACTTTCTCCGCATTATTTGGTAGTCCAAGCCACGAGGGCGTTTGTCTATCAGACAGTGATTCAATCCATTTAAGGAAATGATCACGTCTGGTACCATCTGGCATAGTAATATGTCGTTGACTTCCTTGCAAACCGTCAATGTTAGCAACAAGCGCGAAATCGGCTTCGAAAGATCGCGGAGTAAAAAGCTTGCGAAGGAACGATGCAAGAAGACGTTGGTCGAAATCATTATCAATTTTACCACCGTATATGCATTGAGATAGTAATGTCACTAACGCATCCCAAGGTACTTTCTCTGGCGGTAAATTAGTCCTGCCCATAGCAGTGGCTTCTATCCACGTATCCAAAGTATCACAAGCTACTCTTAAATCGCTCTCATTGAACTCATAATGTTTAGCCCATCCTAACGGTGCATAACGAAGACGTTCTTGAACGATAGCATGGAACCACGCTAATAAGAAGTAAAGACGGGCTCTTTCGTTAGGTACTTTCATCATTCTTGATGCTGGTACAGTACTGAAAGTTCGTAATAAATTTGCTCTGATTCCAGGAGGCGGTTCGAAGACAAATATTCTACCAGCTCTGAGCAGATTAACTGGCACTTTTGGATTAATTTCCATGGTTAAGAATAGTCTAAAACTAGCATGTGGCTGTAGACTGTGCAATTTCTTTTCAAGTTGTACTAACCACTGTGGTGCTAAATGGACATTTTTCAATAGTACCCATCTACCCGCTTTGACAGCCATATTTATTGCTCTGTCCGCTTGATTAAACCCTTCTGCAGATCCGATTGCAATACTGGCTATTTGTTTGCCTGATTCAGCTGCCAAATCATCTACTCGACCAGAGGCATCGAAACCAGGTACTGAACAAAGCAGTGCAGGTACAGTGGCCTTCAATTCATTTTCAACAACGGAAGCAAAATCAAGTTCTGCTTCTGCAGCTGCCATGAAAGACTCTCCCAAAGCAGAGGTTACAACTAAAGACGCAGCAGCTATCACTCGATCTGGCCGGAATGCTTGAATTATTAATAGTTGATGCATAGCTGTCCCAGTCGATGTCAATGGTTTTTCTTCGTCCCAAAGTTTCGGTACACACGTCTCGGGTGTTGGCGATTGTAACCATGTATTGAATTCTGTATTCTCTTGAATTTTCTCGCGCAACTTTTTGAAAGCTGGTAATCTAAGGCTCAGTCGCATCATAGCTTCTTGTTGTTCTGAACTCAAATTAGGCATTATAGGATCTCGTATATTCAGTACACCTTCTTTTCCACGCAAGAAAAATGTAAATTCACTGTCGTAAGTGGATTCTGCAGCAATACCTTTCAGATGAATTCTACATAGTAATAATGCAAATGTTAATCTATCGGTGTGCAACATTCCACGAGCAACGCGTTCGTAACAAGCAGAAAATAAATCGCTTGTAATAAATGATAGTCTTTGCGTGTAATCTGATATATTAGACAATCTTGGATTTTGAGATAAAACAGACGTGAAAACATCTAAGAACATTTTCAAAGAATACTGATATAAGAAGTGCACTTGATTCAAACTATCCATTGTAAAATACATATTTGAACAAGCTTGAGACAAAGGCATGTACTGTTGAGAGACTGTTTCAATTTCTGCTATTACTTTGTCCGTTTCTTCGACTTTTTTACTAATATCAGCCGCTTCCTGTTTTAAAGTTTCAAGGGTAGTTATCACAGAATCATCATCAAGAATTTTCCCCTTAGCATCATTCAATGCTTGCAACAAGGATTTTTCAAGCTGCCTCAGTCGCAAGTGGAATTCACCTTGTAATTTTAGTAAATCAGATCTCTTCTCATCAATGTCCGGTCGTTCAGCTTTCAGAACTTGATTTAAGCACTGACTTTGCAACGAACTTCTGGTAACGGTGAAGTTTACAAAGGTAACACGAGAACAGATATCAGGTGGAAATTCCACTGTTGGATCTCTTGTTGATAAAAAGATCACGAAAGATGGTGAAAGATCAATATCTTGATCCCCGAGTGTAATTAGCACACGCCCGCCTGTTCTTCTTAATTCTCTGTTTAGGACAGGATTTAATATGGGGTCATAATTTTCGACATCCTGTACCAACAAAGGATTACCAAAACGTAACGCACTCTCCAGATTCTTTCTAAATGAATCATCCAAGAAACTTGTTTTCGTGATCTTTCGATCTTTAAATTCGTTCATTATAAATTCTGTTGCTTGTCCAGATGGATCAATAATTAACGGATATCTATTGAATCGTTTCAACATAATAGCATTTTCAGTGCAAAGATCATCTGTTGGTAGAGCATTAGCTTGCCACCTTAAACGTTCATCTGGATTTGAGAGATATTCCGTCCTTGCTATATCTGGTCGGAATTGTAAGTTTGCATGTTGTAAATGTTGACACCAAGTACTGAACAAATTTTGTCGATACTAAAAAATATCAGAAAACATACATGTCAATATGAAAAATATATATTAAAATATGTATATATCTATGTAGGGAAAAATATACATGTATGGAAACTATTATTAAAAACCTACGTGTTGATCGAAATATCCAGCATATGCTAAGAAAGCAGATGACAAAAGTACATCTCCAATAATTGTAGACATTTGACTCTTAAATGTTTCACTAGTTGCTTCCCAACGTTCTCTTTCAATAACTAACGATTTTAATAAGGCGATAGAACGATCTACTTTAGCTTGTACACTTTCCAAGTCAGCTTTAATAGCTTGTGCCTGAGAAATAAGCTGCGCGTATTCTTCCTTATATGAAGCTATGCTTTGTTCCAGTTGAGCAATCAAATTTTTTACTTCTTCACCTTTTTGCTTGTTTGTTTCAGCTTGACGTTCTAACGAATGGAGTTCATCTCTTAAAGGTTCTACTCGTTTCAACATGTCTGCATATTCAATCTAAAATTTTTAGATTGTACATTTTTAATAATTCCTTTCTCCAAGAAATACAAATATTTCGTGGATATTCACCTGTGCGGTGGCCCATTTAACAAGAGGTCCACAAGCCATACTGGCCCGATTGACTTTCTCGAAATTATAGTCAGGGTTGCTTAAATATCGACTCTTCATTTTTTCTCTCACTTCATCTCTAAATATTTTAAAAAATTCTTTTAATCTTTTAATCTTTAACGATTTGGTAAAGATTTTTTTTTTTCAACAATTTCAATTAAAATTTTAGCATATTATACATATGATTTTGGTTAGTAACAAATTTGTCAATTATCGTTCACATGCTCTACATATCAATTGTGCTTAGTGATTTGTCCAACTTGTTTTTAGATTTGAGATCAGCAAGCACAAAGATTAGTCGTAGATACATATATAACAGATATTAGTATTGCACATTTCCTTAAAATTCTCGTATACAATTGATATCTTTTTTCTTACTGTGAGCTTTCATTTTTGATGAATCATTAGAAAATATTTGTATCAACGAACCGTGTTCGCTCATCCCTAGATTAAAAAAATTAATATAAAACAAACAATGAAAGCATGCTTACGTAATATCCTCGGTACTGAAATTAGAGACAATAGTATTGATAAAATTGTCCCTCATGATGACTGCGCGGATAGATTTCCAATCACTGGCATTTTCGCCGAGCAATAAGCAGATAGACTCCAATGCAACCTTCACGATCGCCGGCGGATTCGCCATGGACCGAACTTCGACTAAATGTTGTTTCTTTATCGATTTCACCGCTATACGAAAAACGAAATGATTTTATATAGTACAAAGAAAATAAAGTGCAGGCATGTGCAATTAGAACAGTTATGACGATGTTGTTATGTGAGAAAAGCTCCGCAGCAGGCTGTACGTTTTAAACGACCTACAGATAGTTAGAAATAAGAAAAAAAAAAACACGATACATTTTTATTTACAGTAACAGAGTATTTACGTATCACGCCCTTATAATTTTTGCTAGAAAATATTTAAAAATGTTGACATGTTGAGATTTAAAATGAAAAATTTTTATAAGAACGTATATGCTATACATGGGTGAGTATACTGTATTCAGCCAAGAGACATAACATATATATGTCAAGCGGTTATAGAGTTGTATCTGCCTCGGTAAATCCCCACGCGAGTACTGAACATTCAGCGGATCCAGAATCATTTCTTACGTGATGTTTTCTGTGTTGAAGTTGACGATGGTTGGTATGAAACTATCCTTCATAATGATAGCACGGATCTGTTTCCAATCAGTAGCATTTTCCTCAAGTAACAGGCATATAGATTCTAAAGCTAGTTTTACGATTTTTGGAGGATTTGCCATTGACCGAATTTCGACAAGATGCTGCCGCTTAATCCCCTTGACAGCTACACTCGTTGTAAATGTTTGAACATAATGCGCGTCATATGTTTTACGTATTTAAAATAGTGTACAGGTGGACATCGATTACAGTTATATGTATATCAGAAGATAGCAACTGTTTGCATTCGTTGCAATGATTAAAATTGGAATATAAGTAATACATACCGTTTTGTGCATCAATAACAGCTGGTTCAACTTGTGCTAAATCGGCCATAACATCGTCTCGCTTTTGGTTAATAGCAACAGTTTGTATTGCCAATTGTTGTTGAATTTCCTGGCTTTGCACTTTCTTCTTTTCCGCTTCCTGTTGATCTTTAACCATTTGTCGCAATTTCGCATTCGCAGCTTCATTTTTGGCGTGCAGTTCCTATATAAAAGATACACGTGAGAAGCTGCAAAAAAAGCTTTTTTTTTCATTTAATTATCTTACCTGAGATTTTATAGCTAAACTTTTTTGCATTTCCTCCACCTGTTCTACCGTTTCCGCAATTTTACTTAAACCGACATTTAGATGCAACTGTTGTTCTTCCAAATCACTTCTCTTTTCTTGATACAACTTTACGAAATGATTGATAAAATCTAAATAGTGGCGGGGTGTAATAGCCATTGTCCTGCCACTACGTTTGGCGAGTCTAGTATTGGCTTTATGTAATGTTTGGTGCACATAAACGCAAGCGTTTATTACAGCATCTCGATGAGAAGGTTGAGATGGGATTAAAGAGCAAACTGAAGGGAAGAAATCTGGACACTTCCACATGGGTCTTTCCAAATCTACACGGCTGGTAAACTCTTTGCCAACTTGGAATAGCGCGTTATCTGACCAATCACCAAACCAATTCAACACACATCTATTGAATAATGCAGGTGATGTCGCAGCTCGATCTTTAAGACCATCAGTACTGGGATTCATCGTAAATACTACATGCAAATTCTTCATGACTTGACCAGTAAACCATTTGTACAGTTCTTCGTTAGAATCTAACATAAGACCTTCGCGTTGCGCTCCTTCTTTACATTGTGTCATAAGCGTCGTGTACTCATCACCTTCGAATAAACCAGGTACTTCTCCATTTGCAAGCAAGGTATTCATACGTTCAAGAAAACCAGAATCTAAAACATTAGATTCATCAAGAATAAATGCTATTTTCTCATCTTTACAACCAGATCGTCTTAACACTTGACGCAAATCTTCGTCAAAATCTTCACCAGTATATTTATTGTGAACCTTTGATGTAAAAAATAACCACGTATTAATTAAATCAATTGAAAACATTTTAAAATGTAAAATTTTTACAAAATATAGATACATACTTTTATTTGAAAAATGGATAAACCATTCATCCAAGCAACGAATCTAGACAGAGTTGTCTTACCAGCTCCAGAAACACCAATAAGCAATAAGTGTCCCTGAGGCTGACGGAAAATTCTGTCAATTCGTAAAACATGTTCAAGAACCTCGTCAAAGAGTACCAGAGGAACATCCAGTTCCTCTTCATAAAATACTTTCAATCTCGCTCTAACATAATCTCGTAATTCTTGTCTATTAACTGGCACATAATCTTTAGATAACCAATTACTATATAATATAGGCCTCGTTAATGCTTTTTCCTTATCAACACCCATAAAATGTTTCATGGCAACGATATCTATATTCTTATTGGTCCAAGCTCTTTCAGTGTCTTCCACTAATCTATCTTGGAATAAACGAAGAGCCTCGTGTGCCCATAAGCGTACTAGGCCTTCAACCGACAAATTATCCAAGGGTCTAATAGCTTCACAAATTCCGCGTACCCAACGTGTCATTTCGCGCGGAGAATAAACGTAATGTGGTTGCATGTCTTGAGTAAATCTTTCCTGCGAAGCTAGATAAAATTCTACCATTGCATTGGTTAAAGGTTCCGCGTAACCTCGTAAAGAAGGTGTTAATCTGTAATAATAAATTGTAAATTGAAAAATATTCTTATTCATTTGCAATAATTTTAATATGATTAACCATTACTGTTATTATTACCTAAGCATAGCCCGTGTAAATGTACCATAAATTTGTTTTAAAGATGTCTCTCCCGGATAATCGACATATATAACTGGAACATGTCGTAAAAATCTATGACTAAGCGGCTTTCTACCTGGATCTGTTGGAGGATTGCAAGCACCAACGAATTGGATTCTTTCCAAAGTAACCCATGCTTGATCGCTAGTACGATAGAAACCTCTATGTTCTACCAATTGTCTAAGGAACGAGATTACGCGTTGTGTCCCATAATTATCCATGTCGGGTAAATTAATTTCATCGCAAAATAGAACCAGCCATTTGCCCAATTGTACTGGTGAAAGTACAACGCCGTTGGGTGTTTTACGATATTCACAATAATGATCAAAAGTTTTCAGCAATAATTCAGGTGTAGTAGCAGAAGAAAAGTTTAGTCCAACAACTTCCATATCGGGCAAAGCTCGTAAAGCAGAGAAAAGCGTCATAGTTTTACCAGAGCCAGGTGGACCACAAAGCACTGTAAAAAGTTACACAATTTATTTTATATATACTTCCAATTTTACAATCATTTTTATAAATATAATATTACCTATTGGTTTATGTTCTGCTAACCATGTGTAAAGTAAACTTTCATGCCTTACTGTATCCAAAGTAGGCACAACGATATCTGGACTAGCAACTTTATGCGTTTCTACTTCAATCTGTGGAACTTTATTGCTCCAAGGTAACCATTCACCATGAATGCTTACTTCAAAATCAATAATAGGAATGTTGTTTTGGGTTGGCAAAGGTACAGTCGTGATAGATCTAACAAAATCCCCTAAATCGGATCTAACTTTTAGTTTCGCGTCACCTGCGAAACTCCATAACAAAGCATATACCAAGCATTTTGGCATGTAACGTTCCAGTTGTTCACTTGGCAAAGGGAAGTCTGTATGTGAATGATTATATTGTAAAACATTTCGTACAGCTTGATTTAACATAGAAAATAAAGAGCTTAATGCTCGCAGACGTGTAAAATCCATTATATGTTCTTGTTTCATAGCATATTCCAAACATCTTACTACCAACCCATCTGGAGCAAAATAACTCTGTAAAATGCTGGCAACTTCTCTTTGAACTGATAATGCAGGAGACATAGTATCATCTTTTTCTGTTGCCTTTTTGCCAAGATTATCTTCTTCTCCATCTTCGAGAGGAATGTTTCTTAAACGCAACATGTAATTTTCGAATATCATTTCTGTAGAAAGTACATCTTCAGAGAACCACACCATACCGCAACGAGAAACAGTAGCCAATGTGGCATATTTTAGATCTTGTACTTCAAACATAACTCTCACATTTGGAGGCAAACTTAAACGTTCGCCGTTTGGTAATGTAAGCAGTTTATTATCATCTAGTACAGAATTTAAATTTTCAACCCATTCTGGATCAACATCACCATCAAATATGATCCACTGTCGTTTATTAATTTCTCCTCTGACATTGTCTATGATTTTTCTAAGAATATGTGTAAAGAGTCCATCTGTCCATTCACGTGTATTTGGATCTAATACACCATACAATATTTCTTTGCTAATAGCTTTAGGATCGATCACATGGGCCACACCTTCTATTCCTTCAAATCTTTCCAAGGCTTTTAACAGTACTTTCCATGCGGTCGTTTTCCCAGAACCGCTTGGGCCAACCATCATCAAACCATGATTTAAGTTACAAATTTGATACAGTTGCAGCACCTGAATAAAAGTATTTTATAAAAGTAGTAACAATCAAAATAAGAAAACAATTATAATTATATGAGTTTATGAAACAGGATGACATCTATGGAAAATGTTATTCGTGATTTAATTTTCGTCTCACCTTTTCTACCCAGGTCTCACCGACCATTTCCTGGGGGATGCATATGATAAAAAATTCAAGCATTAGGAAGATATACCTATCTTACACATGTTCTTGGAAGAGACAAAAGTCATTGTTTGTCATTTTATTTATACTATCTTTCTTCATGCTATTTTTTATAATAGTGATAAGACTAAATAATGCAAAGATGATTATATATTATGCTCTATATTATGATATTATATTACCTTTTCCTGCCAAGCTCCTCCTTGTTCGTCACCTTCACCGCATACTAAATACTCTTCCATGCATACTTTCCTAATCTGATTTTTCAATCCTATAGTACATATTTTAGTATATGATAAAAGAAAATGATAAACATATAAGACGTTGAAATATAATTTTCGATGTAATAATTACCTTTCATTTCAGCACGTGTATAATTTACATTCGGGAATACATCATTAAGTAAACTAAACAAAAGCGGAATATCTTCGGCGACTAATTTTGGTACCATTGTTTCACAAACAGATTGAATAAGAATTTCTTGTTCTGGCAAATTTTCAGCAATCGAAGCCTCATCAATATTAGTTTCGCCACGATTCTGCATACCCTCTTTAATTTTTTGAATTCGATCACGTTTGACATTTCCAGCAGAAATAAGTACAGATTTAAGCGCGCGAAGACCAAAATCATAATGAGATTGATTAGAAAGTTGTTCATCACAAAGCCTAAAACCAATATCATATGCCTAGTAAAAATTCAAAATATATTTGAATGACATGCAAAAAATGAAAATCTCACTTGAAAAATGGTACAATCTTGCATGCTAATTTTTCAGCAGATCTAAATCCTTGACTGAAAAGCATAACTTCGGCGATTAATTGTCTATCAGGTGTGGTCATAGCTAGCGATCTAAAGAGCTTTTTCAAGTTATCGGGAAGATTTGATCGTCCAGCATAGCCTGGATTCATTGTAATAAAGATCGCCATATCTGTGGATACTTTAACTTGTTTCCCGACTAATTCTACACAAAGTGTTCCTTCTTTTTTCCCTTCCATCTGACTTTTTAATGCTTCTTGAATGGTTTGCACTTGTTGAGAAACAGCTGAAAGCATACGCTCTTCAAGACGATTGAATTCATCGAAGCAACCCCATGCTCCAACTTGACAAAGACCGACAAAGATACGGCCCATAGCCTAAGAAAACCAATAGAATATTATTAAACATAATTTCCTAGAAATAAGTATAGCTGTCATATAATAAGTATAGCTTTAATAACGTTCTCTATTTACCTGAAAGTCGAATGTCTCATCGCAGTTAAACACCAATACAAATCTTCCGAGTTGATGACCAAGAGCTTTAACTGATTCAGTTTTTCCTGTTCCAGCTGGTCCAAATGGAGATCCTCCAAGACGAGCTTCTAAAGCTTGTGTCATTGTTAAGTAACATCTATCTGTCAAAGGTGTTTGTACTAATCTGTCTTGTACTCCCAAATACTCAAATCCATAATAAAATTTAGCATTTGCCATATGTATTGTAAGTTGCTGCAAAACTTCAGTTTGCCGCGGATCAAAATAGAATCTCATTTCGCATAGCCATTCAAATGCTTTAGGATTGGAAACTTTATTCGCAATTAGTCTTCTTGTTACTGTCCGTTTGTGTACGAACTCGTTAATTAAATGCTCTAACTTTTTCCGTCTTAACGGTGGTTGTTCTTGAAGAACAGAGTCCGCTAAAACGTTTAATGTACCCTCAACTTGTAGTAACACTCTTTCTAAAGAATTCTTACTTGGATCGCTTTGCGACTCATGCAACGCAGCTTCAACATCTTCTGACCATAAGATCTGAGCAGCTAAAACTATAATCTGAGCTTGATAATTATCACACCATGTCATGAAAGCTTGAGGATTAATATTTCCATCTTTGAACTGTTTGATATCTTGTACTGCTCTTGCAAGACTCGATGCTAATGTAACTCTCATTTCTCTTTCTACGAGCGTCAACCATTCATTGATTTTTGGATGATCAACAGTAGATACCGGATTTTGGAAAAATACTTCTTCTCCTTCGCGAGAAGCGATACCAGTAATAATAGTGTTATCTTCGCTCAAAAGAATAGCTGCAACACCAGCAAACATTTTTTTAAAATGTTTTTGTAATCTTGCAATGTTTTTGCTATTACCAATAATTTCCAATAGATCCTCATCACCCACGAAATAAAATCGCGGGAATGAGGTACGTTCTCTTTCTAGGTATTCTCCTAAAGCTTTCTGTATTTTTCCAAGTAAATCGGCTAAACGTTCAAGTGCTCTTTGCACACCAGGAATATTTAGGACATCCATTACCATTGGAGATTTAGATACTTTTTTCATTAAACCAAGAAACTCAGAACTAATACTTTGGAAGCGTGATGTTTCAACAGGCAATAGTGTTTTAATGTCAGCACTTCCTGAGAAAATTCCTTCCAGATAAACCCAACGTCGTTGAACATCTATCCATACGTCGAATAAAGCATTGATTCTGTTTAATTTTTCTTCCCAGGTTAATGCCTCTTCTTCAAATACTTTATAATAAGGCGAGAGTTTCATAGCAGCTACAGAATTGATGTGTTCTTTAACTTTATTAAAAAGATCATCCCAACCACGAATTAATCTGCATTTATTTTGATAGTTTATTAAATCCAATTCATAAGTTTGCCAAGATTCTCGAACTTGTTTCAAGAATTCTTCTAGTGCCATTTCACCTTGAGCAACAAGAATGATATCTTTTACTATCGCTTCATTTTTCTGTAAGTTCACATCCCAAACTTGACCAAGAGTAAGTTCACTTAATACCCAGTTGACTCGTAGTTGTTTTGTCAATTGTTTCCAATGCCTCTCTTTCAAAGCATCAGACTTTAATTCGAAAATTAACATGTTAACTTTGGTATAACTTTGCAGCATTTTTTTGACATATTCGTATGAAGAATATTGTCTTAGTCTAGCTGGTAATTCCTTCAGTTGTGCCATCATTCCATCTAATTGTTGGCGTAATTTTCTTGGTTGAACAGATAACCATGGTTTTTCTCGCGTATCATCGATCTGAGCCCATATTTTTGATAGTTCAGACCAAACTCCTCTTAAGTCTTGAAGTTCTTCAAACACTACTTGCATTCTATCTTCACTGGTCGATACTGCTCCCGGTTCTTGCAATTCTAAAGCTTCTTTAGCCTTTGCTACATTATCTCTTTCTTCTTTCAATCTAGCAAATTTGCTTTCAAACAACTGCAATTGTTGCAATGCATCGTCTGGTCGTAAATGACCCTCGACCGGTTTTCCTCTTTCCCAATCACTGAGGAAATCGGTAGTCCTTATTTCAACTGCTTTATCTTCTGCTACAATTTTCATTTGTAATGACGCAACTTGCGTTTGTATACTTGTGTCTTTTCTTTTGATTATTTCATTGAATGCACCCCATTCACCCTCTATGTTATCTACGTGCAGCCACGAAGAAGGAAATTGGAATCTCTGACGTTCCAGTATTCTTTGACCTTCGCGATATATATCAACTTGTTTTTCCCAAGCCTTCATTTTACGTTTCAATGATTGGACGTAAGTTATGAATCCAACTGCATCTGAGGTACTTGCAGCTTCAATCGATTGTTGTTCTAAATCGCTTCTGGATTTTGATACTTGCGAATGAAAGCTTGCCATTTCATTACCGAGAAGGGTTCCAAATTTACCTAATGTTTCTTTGTGCCATGAATCATATTTCAAAGATACTTTACTTTGTACTTTTGCGAAATCAATAATGACAGGTCCAAATTCCCGCCTAGTATCTGATGTATCGAATGTAGCTCTGGTCTTTTTAATATCATTCAAACATTTCATCCATAAATTTATATTTTCTCCTAATTTTCCATACAAATTGTCTGGCTGTAGGTCCCAGAGTGCTTGATAACGTAACCACTGATCTACATAATCGGCAATATCTCTCATTTTGGACTCAACTGCTTCATAAGCTGCTTCTAAAGGTTGTTTTCCAGTGGGTAATTTTGTAAGTAAATTTCTGTAAGTGCCTGATTCAGGTTTATCTAAACCTACTTGATACCTCGAACTCTGAAGTCGAACTTGAGAAGTTACGATAGCTTGCCATGCAAATAGTTGTTGCATTATTTGGAATCTTGCATCTTCGATGCTTGGATACAAATACATCGTTTGGTTTGTTATACGAACTTCGTGTATCTGATTTTGAATCTTTGGATCACCACCAGGTTTATGAGTGGGCTGAGACGGTGCATCTGTATCCATACTTAGATCTACATCTTTTTTCTGACCAGTGAGTGCGTCAGTCCATGCTTTTATTCCTGCTTCTAATCTGGCTGCTAAATTCTTTTCTACTTCTTCATCAAGTCTAGATACCCAAATAGTTAAATTTGAATAATTTTTTAAAGATAGTTCATCTACAGCTTTCTGAATTTTGGAAAGTATATCAGCAAATGTATTTGCTGAATATGGACACGTTTCGAGAGATCGAACATCAACGTCCAATTGCTCTTCAACCACCACAAGATCTTCTACCTTTTCTTGAAATGAAACAACGGCATCAGAAAGGCGTTGTACATATTGATCTAATTTATAACTTTCCCAAATTAGAGCAATTCCCTAAGATCAAGAATAAAAATAATTAATTATAAAGATAATAAATTTTTATAATGTAACTTATAATTAATGATAAAGATAATAAATTTTTATAATGTAATAAAACTTACTTCAGAAATAAGCGATAATACATCATTACGCATTCCAGCAACTAAGGGAATTATACTGGCCTTATCTTCGATCTAGGAAAAAAGATAAATTATGAAATGTAATTTTAAAAAACTTATATCACAAATCATATCAATACAATTTTACAACATAAATTACCATTTACCATTCAATAATGTACAGACAAGAAGGCAAACAAAAATTTTACATGTTCATAGCTTATGCTAAAAAATTATATGACAATTTTCATTTATGATTAATATATTACAAAAACGGAGAAATATGACATTACTATATCAATTACAAGCAACTTTCTGAATGTGCGGCCAATCAAACTTCCCAAATCAATTATGATCACATAATGCAAGTTTCAAGTAAATGAAGAATATAGAGTAGAAACAAAAATTTATTCATGATGGATTCTGAGATTTCTGTAAAAAGTTCGAAAGCCAACAAAATCAGGAATATTAAAAAGAATCAAAAGACGTGTAAATTTTAATATTTCAATCGAAAATGAAAAAGCTCCAATTTTATGGGGTTCCCGCACATCCTATGATTCACCTACTTATACTTTCTTCACTAATTTCTTTCAATTGTTTAGTTTACTAAAATAAAATCATCTTGCAGTACACATTTTTCTACAAGAGCTAAGCAGGCATACAATAATGATCTCGCAGATATAGGCAAAATGCATAATTCCTGAAAGCATCATATATGACTACCTTCAGTGCGGGGCAGTGGGGACTCCGATTGGTAAGCTAAAAATATTGGACACCCAAGGAATTAAAAATATCAATATTACTAACATATATAATTTTATCCTGGTTCTATTCCCTATCATTATCTATCCTTTCACTTATATTTTTAAAATTTATTGGTAATAATATATAAAATAATAATTATAATACAATTAAGTTGCAATATGTTCATAAAATCATATACGAATTATAGTATTATAATTATAAATAATAAAATGAAACAAAGTATTACCTTTTCAAGTGTTCTCTCATATGTTCTAATACTCTCAATTAAGCTGATGGCAAAGGGATATAACTGATTAGCTTGATGCGCTCTGTTCACAATAGGTAAAGGTACACGGAAGCCGAGGTTTCTTAAATTTCTAACTTCCTTCGATAGTGTAATAATTTCAGGAAGAAAATTCACTTTTAACTTTAATACATTGCCACGCCCCGTTCGTGAACGTACATTTTCTATCGTAAAAATTCTTCCAGTTACACCGAGATTTCTTTGTTGCACTTTGCGTGCCCAATCATCAAAAATTTCCTGAGTTGATAATTTCATGCGAAAACTATCTCCATCAGCTTTCAACTTTTGACCTTCAATATGAGTTTCCCATCCTTTTCCTATAAAAGAAAAATAAGTAAGAATTCAATAAAACTATGCAAAATAATTTTAATATTTACCTAAGACATCTTCAACTCGTTTTAAGTACATTGTAAGCTGATAATCTATTTGTTTGACCCAAATAATAGAACCAGCAACAGGTGGTAAATCTCTAACTATACTCATTTTACAACACTTGCTCTGTGCATACTGAACCTGAATTGGTAATGTGACTATTAGCATAGATTAAGAATAGAAGATAAAAAATTTGAATTTTCTATGTGATTTTATACCTTAAACTTTTCATGTAATGCTTCAATATCATCTTTCACTCTTTGTATCAGTTGTGTCTGATACTCTCTAATGGCGCCTCGAATATGTGGTCTTACAAAAAGTGCATTAAAACGTGAAAAGATTCTAAACATTTCATTTGCATTTTTTGCAGTACCTAATTGGTCTCGGAGATGTGCTGTAATTCTTGCTTCAACTCTCTCAATACGTTCTTCGTATCTATGGACAGCAGCTTTCCATGATTCAACACCTTCTTTAGTAATATCAAGGCAATCAATTTCTTTTACATTTTCGTATGCCAAATTTACTTCACTAATGGCATTTGCATCTGCTGCATCTAAAGCAAATTCAACTTTTACGTTATCATTATCTGGATTCTCCATTGCAGCATTATTATTATTTTGACGGACAGTAGGTCTAAGTACCCGAACGATTACTGTTCTGAGTTGTTCATGTTGACGCCGAAAATTTCGCATTTGTTCCATTCTAGTTTGTAATTTTTTATGTGCTGGCAATACTCTCCATACCATTTTCATATGTTCATCGCGTTTTTTCTTAACTATATCTCTTAGTAAACCAGTTAATTTTTCATATTCGTCATCCCATGTATTAAAAACTTCAAAACATTGTTCCATAACCTTTTCAAATTCATCAAATGGAATGTGCATTAACCTTCTTGTACCTAACACTTTAAGAAGCTGCTGTCCTAGGTCTCTAGAAATAGCTTCTATCAACCTCAATACTCTTTGAACAGGATATTTTGTATTCCTGATTTTTCGTAAGTGCATAAATATTTGTTGAACACTAGTTCTTATTCTTTCAAGTTCTGTAGCTGATAATAAATCATTAATTGGAAAATCTTTCATTAATGGATTGTAGTCATTGACAGTAGCCAAAGCTTGTTGCAGGCCAGTATCTATATCGAAACTAACTGTTGCATGAAATCTTTTTCCATGTTTAAGTATATCAAGTGTCAAGGTAATTTCTATACTTTCCCGTTTCTCTTGTATTCGATGCAATGCTCTTTCCAAATTTAACCAAAAAGAAATTTCTTGTAAAGCAGTACCTGATTCTGGGTCACGATTTAGTTTAGTAACCTATGAAGAAATAAATATATATAAAGTATATAATGTACATAACGTCCATGAGATCTTTACCTTCTGAATTTCTTTTATCCATCTATTAACGCCGTTCTGTAATTGATTTAGAAATGTAGAATCTTCAACTTTATCGCCAAAGTCAGCAACTTTGGGCTTACGATTTTCTTCTGCACATTGTTTAATTACTTGTGCCACAAGTGGATGAATTTGTAATGAAATCTCAGGAATGTCTATATTCTGCTGTAGATGCAACAAACCCATTTCAAGTTCTGCTATCTTTTTTTCAACGGATGGTGCCATTTTATCACCATCCCTGTCTGCACGGCCTGTCTCTTTTACATAACTTTTAAAATATGGCGCCATAGTTTTACTTATCGCATGCAATGTTTCATATGGTGGCCCATCTGAGAAGGTAACTAAACGCAGCTGTGAATGGATAGATTTATCAGCTTCAATTACAGCTCCACGTTTTGTTAAAACTAAGGAGGCCATTTTAGGACTAGTAAAATGTATCTCATTTGACATATAAAAGACAGTGCTCTCTTTTTCTTCATCTGCTTCATTGTTGTCTTCCTCTGAAAGATAATAAATTAATTATACTATGCTTATAAAATAAAACAAGGGTATTCAATTAAAAATAAAGTCAAATCCTCATTTTCAAAAAACATTGTATTACTTAATAACACCAAATACACAATATGTAATGTTAATCCAAATAAGATATATATTTGATGATTTAATTTTATATTTTTATTTATCACAATTCAAACTGTTTCAATTTCCTATTAAATATGAGAATAAAAACACAGTTGATACGATAAATTATACCGGCACGCATTTATTACAATCTGGTACGTACGCAAAAAAAATATTAAGGAGAAAAAACGTGTTTACGGTGTTACGTGTATTGATTATGTTAATGTGTGAGTCATATTTATAAGAAATTGAAATACATCAAACGGCGAATTCTGCACTGATATTCAGAATACGTTTCCTGTTGTGGCTTAATGTACCGTTGTATTGAAACACTGCAATGGAGGATATATCATAAAAGGGCAGGGTGCGAAAAATTCCCAGCAACGAACTAGTTAAATGACTAGTGTTTATTGCGAATCAATCCACGTACCTTTGCTCGAACTTCTTTGTATGTAAAGCGCCCACACTTGAGAGTCGCCTAAGAATTTCCTCACGCACTCCTGATTGCTCTTATCTTCGAGGGCAGAATTGAACGCGGGTGGTACCACATCTTCGTCGGGTAGGAGGACCGTTACGACTTTCTTTAAATAATTGGCGAATGCCGAATATGATACAACTATAACAATTTGAGACTCCGGGGACGGTTCCCCGGTGCCGTCCAAGGAGTCACCCATCGCGCGTTAAATCAATATCGCAAAATTTTCTTTTTCTCTCTCTTTTTTGAAGTCTCGAGCGGGTGATCAGACGACCACCGCTCTAGGATGAACTGTCACACGAGTGATGACGAGTATAATAGGCATAGACTATGAGGTGCAACCTACCTACGAATTGCAGCGATTCTCTAATAATCATTCCGGCTGGTTCTCATGTCAGATCGCAAATTGCTTGATCTTGCATTGGCTTTACGCATCTTTCAGTTCGTTATGTTTGAGTTTCGAGAATAGTTACCGATCGTGACGTGTTCGTTAGAATTGCGAACACCCTTTTTACATGCGTGTAACTATTATAGAAAAGCAATGATTTTTTCTATGAAGAATGTTCGCGTCGGTATAGTAGAAACGATACTTTAAATACACAGTTCGAAGATGTGTATACGCTAGTACGTTGAGTATCGTAGGATGCGTTGCGTGTGGATTATAAGCATGAAGCAGGGAATGGGTGGTTGGGAACAGCAGGTGTAGAATTACCGCGGTGGTTTTGACGATAAAAAAACGTTTGTACGGAAAGAATATAGTGTAACAATAACAGTGCCATTCGCAAGCAATTGTACGTCCTGCAAAAATATTTTGATTGCTATTGGTGACGTACGTGATTACAGGTTTATATATAGTAAAAAGAACATTTTGCACCGGCTTGTACCGCGTAACTGTTCCAATCGATTTATCTTACGATTATTCTACAATGGAAGCTTTAATACCTGTAATAAATAAATTACAAGATGTGTTTAATACTGTCGGCTCTGATGCTATACAATTACCTCAAATCGTTGTACTTGGTACACAGGTCAGTTAGTACATTTTTTGAATGATGAAAAAAATGCCACTTTACAATTGGCAAAGCACTAATTTGAATCTTTTTTCCTTCTGAATTTAAAGACGTGAGTCTGAATAGACCAAAATTTATTAAGTTAATTGTTTACATTTCAAATAATAAATATATACTTATTACATATATATATGTATGTGTATGATTGTTAAAAATGTTTACTAAACATAATATTTTGTTTTTTTAGAGTTCTGGAAAGTCATCTGTAATTGAAAGTCTAGTTGGTCGATCCTTTTTACCACGGGGTACTGGTATAGTCACTAGACGTCCCTTAATATTGCAACTTGTTTATGCACCGAAAGATGACCGTGAACATCGAAATGCAGAAAGTGGAACATTAGATTTAAATGAATGGGGCACATTTTTACACATGAAAAACAAAATCTACACAGATTTTAATGAAATCCGCAGGGAGATAGAATCTGAAACAGAGCGTATGGCTGGATCTAACAAAGGAATTTGTCCAGAGCCAATTAATTTAAAAATATATTCGGCGTCAGTTGTTAATTTAACTCTGATAGATCTTCCTGGTATTACAAAAGTACCAGTCGGCGATCAACCAGAAGATATTGAGAGTCAGATACGACAGCTTGTTTTAAAGTATATATGTAATCCTAATTCTATTATATTAGCTGTTGTTACCGCGAATACTGATATGGCTACAAGTGAAAGTCTAAAGCTTAGCAAAGATGTTGATCCAGATGGAAGACGTACATTAGCTGTTGTTACTAAATTGGATCTCATGGATGCTGGTAACTATTTTATTATTAATAGTATTACATTTTTATTATTAATGTTGTTTATTAATTTTGTTTATTATTTACTTACTGTTTATAATTTATAAAATACGTATATTCCATTTTAGGAACTGATGCTATAGATATATTATGTGGAAGAGTCATTCCTGTAAAATTAGGAATTGTTGGAGTAGTTAATCGTTCCCAACAGGATATAATGAATAATAAAAGTATTCAAGATGCATTAAAGGATGAAGCTGCATTTCTGCAACGTAAATATCCTACTTTGGCAAACAGAAATGGAACTCCTTATTTAGCTAAAACATTAAATCGCTTACTCATGCACCATATTCGGGACTGTCTGCCAGAGCTAAAGGTAATAACATGAATTTTACTTAATGACAATTTATAGTTAGAAAAAACTAAAGTAAACATAATTTGGTAGAACTTATATTTTTTAAAAACAGACGAGAGTAAATGTCATGGTTTCACAATTTCAAACCCTTCTTAATTCGTATGGTGAGGATGTTAGTGACAAGAGTCAAACTTTGCTTCAAATTATTACGAAATTTGCAAGTAGTTATTGTTCCACGATTGAAGGAACAGCTAGAAATATAGAAACGACTGAATTATGCGGTGGCGCTCGAATTTGTTACATATTTCATGAAACATTTGGAAAAACGCTAGATTCTATACACCCGCTGGCGGGTCTGACAAAAATGGATATTTTGACGGCCATTCGAAATGCAACTGGTCCACGACCTGCGCTATTTGTACCAGAAGTTTCTTTTGAATTATTAGTTAAGCGACAAATTCGGAGACTCGAAGAACCATCGTTACGATGTGTAGAACTTGTACACGAAGAAATGCAAAGAATCATTCAACATTGTGGTACTGAAGTGCAACAAGAAATGTTACGTTTTCCAAAATTGCACGAGCGTATTGTTGATGTTGTAACACAGTTATTACGTCGACGGCTGCCACCTACTAATCACATGGTGGAAAATTTAGTTGCTATAGAATTAGCATACATCAATACTAAACATCCAGATTTTCATAAGGATGCAGCTCTTGTGTCATCTTTATTAAAGAACTCTAATGTAGATCATGTAAAACACAATAGAAAACTTCCTTCTACAAATTCCACATCAAATACTGTAGTTTCAAATGACACTGTAAGTAATTGTTGATAATATTTATAATGTTGTTAGTATGTACTAAACATAATAATTAAATGTATAATATTTATAAAACTGTATATAACCATTGTATATACCATCATTCATTGTTGTAATACTTACTAAATTATTATTTAATAATTTACCACGTATCTTTATAAATAATGTAATTGATAATTTTATGTTTTCTGATCATGTTCTGTGTGTTGTATAACTAAATACATGTAATGTTCCTAACAGAATGTAAAATCAATGAATAATCAAGATGAAGTAGCATCTTTTCCTGAGCAGAATAAGGACCAACAAGGACATCAAATGGTGTTAAGTAATTGGTTATTAAATAATCTTATGTCTCAAGGAAGAACTGATTCAAGCAGTTCGGTTGATGGTTCTCCAGTAAGAAATCGTGAAAACAGTACTTCTCCTCACCCAAATCAAAATACAGTAATTGAGATACAGAAAGCATCTCCACAACAAAAGCCTGTAAATCTACTGCCTGAAGTACCAGTGCAAACATCTCGTAAACTAAGTGAACGAGAACAACGAGACTGTGATGTAATTGGTATGGATAAAAATATATATTTTTTCAAGAAATATTATTTTATGTTATTTATTTATATACATTTTCTTTTTACAGAAAGATTAATAAAATCATACTTTTATATTGTACGAAAATCTATACAAGATAGCGTACCAAAAGCTGTCATGCATTTTCTAGTCAACTATGTAAAGGATAATTTACAAAGCGAGCTCGTAACACATTTATACAAATCAGATCACGCTGAAGTTCTTTTAAATGAGAGTGAACACGTCGCTGTTAGACGCAAAGAAGCAGCAGATATGTTAAAGGTATATAGAAAGAAATAATACTTTTTCTTTGCATAAATTTAAATTCTTGATCTGTTTGTATTTGTTTTTATTTATAGGCACTAACACAAGCTGGTCATATTATTAGTGAAATTCGAGAAACGCACATGTGGTAACTGATTTTATATATTATTTACACGATCAGTTTATAGTTCAATTTAGACAATTTGATGGTTTCATAGATAAACTGATAAGCAAGATGATATGTACCTCTGTAACACTGTACATAAATTGTATTTTTCGTGCAAGTAGTGTTTATAATTACAACAGTTATTTTTAAGGTTTTAACATGCATTTTGTTTTAGTTTTATTTTATAGATAAAATAAAATACAATCACACGTGCATTTGTAGTAATCATCGATATTAAATGATCAATGTATTACCATTTATAACAATGGTGCTCGTGCCATGACTTTAAAAGCCTTACCAAAGTTATGCAAATATCTAATTTACATCAAAAAACAATCACGAATGCTAGACAGTTTGTTATATTTTGTAACATTTTGCATTACATGAAAAAAATTGAAAAATGGCAATGTAAAAGATATATAATGTAAAAAAATCTTGTTTTTGAATGCTTATGATACGGATCCTGAGTCGTGTGCGTGTTCACGTGTGTATGCATATAATATAAAACATATATACATATTAATATTTTGTTGATTTATTACTATTGAGAGGTACAACCAAACTGATTGTAACACTGAATGATACATTGTTGTGTTTTAATAGTTTCCATGTTGGGTGCAATGAGACACTTCTCAATAAACTGTATATGTTCAAGTAATTCAGGAAGAGCCTGTTCATAATGGCCGTCATACATTTTAGAAATAGCGTTTAATCTTTTCTCAACTGACTTTCGAAACTGATTCTTTATTTTTTTTAGATCAATTTTCTCGGTACAGTTGCGACACTGTTTATTAAATATATTCTGCATATGTTTTTCATTTAATGCGATTGTACCTATAATTTCTGAACACACCTTGCATTTGAAATTCATAGTTTCAGGTAGCGGATATTGCCAATTTTGTGCACATGCTTCGCATGCACATACGAAACGATACTTCTTCCATAAGTATTCAAGCCTTGATTCAAGCCTCTCGCTAAGCCAGTGCGGCCCATAACAATCAAAAATTTCGGTACCCTTACCGATAAAACGCAATGCTCTTAATACAACTATCCCTATCGAAAATTATTCTCGTTTATTCAGATTTCATAAAACATAAGGAATCATTAATTAAAAGCATGCTTTTTACCTGATGGATAAGAATGGCGAACTACATTTGGATAACAACTATGGTTTGTAAGACTAACCGAAGGATAAATTGCTCCACCTACGTGCCTTGGTTCCCAAGCATGCGTTTTTTTATCATATATATTTTCTACAATTTCATAAGCATTGCAATTAATAACTTGCAAGTTGTGCAACATTGCTACTGCCAAGAAGATGAAAGATTCTTTTAAGCAAACAACGTCCATTTTACTCAAGACAAAAGTAAAACACTTTGCTAAAAATATAGCTTCTATAGCTCGAACAAGATTTATGCTAGGCTCCATCTCTGTACAATGAGTTTCTAAATTTAATATAGTACGATAATCGAGATTATAATAAGCTTCATTTATTCCTAGATCGCTGTATTCTTTGTTTTTATTTGTAGCATAATCTCGAAGGAAATTGTCATTTAGAAAAAGAATTTTACTTTTTCCCGTATTGTTAATTTGCTCGGCATTTGAAGATAAAAAGGCTGAAATTATCATTCTATAAGCTAGCAATAAATGTGAAGTATGTATTTCTTCAAGATCATTTCCATAGAAAGCGTCAAATATAAAACATTCGTACTGATGATACATTTGCCACGCTTCTCTGCGACATTTCTCCGAACAGAAAGATACCTGTAGAAGTACAAGTTTATTCATATTTTTAAAATAATATATATCACTAGAATATCAATAGAATACGAAAGTACAAGAAAATAAACATGAAACTTTGTAGATAATAAAAAACGATATTGATATCGTGGTTTGTGTTACTAACTGTTTGACAAAAATAACAAGGAATTTTAACACTGTCACTCGATTTAAGAGTAATATGACAGTGTAAGCAATTTCTATCAAGTGCTTCCTTCTTTGTGCTGAATGCAAATGGTGTTTCAACGATAAGAACAGATCCTGCCTTGACGTTTCTTGTAGCTACGAGATGTCGACCTCGTGTTTCATCGAATTGTAAAGCAACAGCATTGGAACAACTTTTAAGAACAGCATGTTGTTTCCCATCAACACTCGGTATCACCGAAGCATTTCTTGTCAATAATGCATTCTCGGGAGGAACATTCTGACTTTTGTTGCATTTTTTACGCGGTCTTTTGTCCTGAGAAGATGACACCTTCATATTTTTATAGCATTCACGCTCTAATTCGACACATGCTTTTCTACGTTCCGAGAAATCGTTTCTGTATTCAGGAGTTTTATCGTAAAAATTTTCGGGAAGTGTAAGCATGCATTCGCAATATTTCAAGCATTTTACGAAAGCTTTCGAATCATAACAGTATTGTGCGCAATCTAGAAGCGCATTCAGAAACAATCTACTAGTTACACTGGCTTTAAACAGTGTTTCAGTAAGGATACTACTTTTATTTGTCTCCTCGTGCACAATTCCATCTTCAGCTATCATTCCACAACTTTTTTTGTAAAGTTCCGCCGCTTTAATATCATCCTTACCCTTATACGACTCGACTATCTTTACTCTATCAATATATGGTATGTTTATGAGAATCTTTATCATTCCTTCCCTATCTCCCTTTTCAGACAATTCCTTGAAACGACTTGCACATGGTTCTACAATTGCAGCGTTGTAAGCTACCTTGAAAAATTCGCTAAAGGAGATGTACCTATGAAAAATTTCAATTATTTATACATATGTGTATAATAGTAAAACTAATTTAATAATTGTCGCGTAATTTAGATTTCTAAATTTACCAGTGGAGGTCAATCCAAACGGAAGTAGTTTGAGCAATTATTTTAGACATGTACTTACGGTGATGTTGTCTTTTACAAGTGGCATTTTATCAGTAATAAATTAAATCAAAACTTTTTTATTTATATGTCCGTAGATCTAACTGATTTAGTCTTTAGAATAAAATACAGGGCATATCTTTCTAAGTGTATAGATTGTAAGAAAAATTGATTGCTCACCCTTTCGTAAAAGACATGATTTTGCAAAATATTGATAAATTGTATAATTATCATTACATTAGTATTTGCAAGTTTATTGCAGGTGCAAGACTAGAAGACGAATGAGCCTGTGACGAATTCTAAAATTAGATATTGCGCGCTGGGACGTGATTTCTATTGCTACATTTTAAATTTAAGCTCGGTAAAAAATAAGAAATAATCCAACGCTATTGATATTATTTTTATTGATACATTGATAATTTTTGAATGTAACACAATACCAGGACGAAATAAAATGAATACAATTAAATCTGTAATAATAAAGAAAGATTAATACAATACATGTGATTTTAATATTTCTAGTAATTTATAATATAGTAAGTATATGTTCATGATTTCAAATAATTATACATATATCAATTCGAAATTCCTGCTAGAAATTGAAATTTAAACATTGATTTTTAATACCATTTTTTTATAACTGATGTCACTAGTGTAGGTAACCACCAGGATACTAGACATAACTAAGGGTACTAGACATCACATGATAAAATCGGGTGTGAACGTTTTTGTTTTAATTTGTATATGAAATGTACTTATTTTGTGTTTCTGAAACGCTCTGTTAATATATATTTTGAAGTTGAGGTTAATCATTTGTTCTTGTGTTTGTTTCAAGAAATAGACGCAACAAAGAAATTAGAAGCAGCACGATGAGATACATCTTGGGCTCTACTTTTGCGGGAACTGCTTCTGCAACTATTCTAGTATTAGGTATTACTTGATATTTACTTATCTAAGTGGCAATTTCTTAAATGTCATCAAATATTACAAAAATAAACTGCTCACAGTGAGATAAATTTTTGGAAATTTGTTGCAAACATTAGCAACAAAAAACGTAGTGTTTGTTCTTTGCACTTTATCTTTGAAAAAAACCTGTATTTTTAAAATAATCTTTTATTGCAGTATTATATCATGTACTTACTGGAAAAGGAGAGCGGATTAGTATCGCATGGTAAGTGAGCATATTTAAATTAAATATGCTTTTTATTCAATATTACAATTATTTTATTATATATTAAAACATTTTTACAAGATAATTTTATTAGGTTTTTAGAAAATACATCTCCATATATGTGGGCAACTCTTGGTATTGGTCTTGCAGTTGCTTTATCTGTAGTTGGTGCTGCATTGTAAGTTTTACTTCTTTTTATAAATACGTATAATATAACTATTTTTTATGTATACTACATATATATTTTTATATGTTTCAGGGGAATTCATACAACAGGAGTTTCAATTATTGGAGGTGGTGTAAAAGCTCCAAGGATCAAAACAAAAAATTTAATCTCAGTAATATTCTGTGAAGCTGTGGCTATTTATGGTTTAATCACTGCAATTGTATTATCTGGAATGTTAGCTGAATTCTCAGAAATCAAAATTCTTAATAACCAAAATATTCGCAACCAAAATTGGTTAGCTGGTTATTTAATGTTTGGAGCTGGTCTAGCTGTTGGTCTTGTTAATCTCTTTTGCGGTATAGCTGTCGGTATTGTTGGTTCTGGTGCAGCCCTTTCTGATGCAGCAAATTCTGCTCTTTTTGTTAAAATTCTTATTGTAGAAATTTTTGGTTCTGCTATTGGATTGTTTGGATTGATTGTTGGCATTTATATGGTAAGTTTATATGGTAACTTATTAGAAAATTAATTAATGTTAATGTAAATGATGTAAATAATGTTATTTTCTAATGCTAATTAATTCATTCATATTTTTAGACGTCTAAAGTAAAAATGGGAGATGAAGTATAAGTTTAAATAGCAACGTTATAAAAAAAAACCATAAACTATTTTTTAGAATCACAATTTCATTCTATATTTAATGATGGAAAAGGATAAATACAGAAAAAGATGTTAAAAAAAAATAGTGATTGAGAAGAAGATAAATATTGGAAAAATATTAAAAATCATCATTTTTTTCTTTGAATTAGCTTAAAAAACTTTTTTTATCTTATAAGGTTGGAATTTTATTTTCAAATTGAATGAAGTTAAATGTAACTGTATAGAATGGTTTCAATTTGGATAATTGTTATAACTTAATAACTTAAATAGAGATTTTTTTCTATCAACCATGTGTATAGATAATTATATCTAGTAGCGTAAAATTTATTGCTGTAATGCAGTCCTTTGCTTACTGTTTTGAGTGCGTTATAGCGCTCTCTTTTTCAAACGTGTCTACTGTATATACATTTTTTTTAACCAAAATATTCTATTAGATAAATATAAAATGTATTACATTTATCAATATATGTGCAAAATACAGTATATAATATTATTCATGAGTTAATTTATTTTTATTTGATAATATAAAAAAATGTACTTCTTTATATATTTATAAAAATATAACAACAATTAATATATTGTATAAAAATTCAAATCTTATATGTATAATCAACAATATTAGAAATTCTTTTTATCTTCGATATAATAATAATTGAACAGTGATTGCATATTTAATGTTCAATTGTATCACTTTCCATAAGTCATTACTGAATGAATATTTGTAAATGCCTTTTCCAAACATTTTACATATTCACTTAAGTTACAATTAGTTTTATAACTTGTTATTATAGCTCCCAGTTTTTCATCCTGAATCATGTATCTAAACATTACAATAATTGTTTTAAACATATTATTAAACAAAATATTTAAACGTATTTATAAAGATAATAAAGAAGAAATATATCTTACGCAATTCCATATCCATTCTTTACTGCTGGTCCAAAACCACCAGCATATATAGCTGGATCTGAAAGAGTTGATGTAGATAAAATATTATTATTTATATTATCATATGCTGGATCCGCAAAAATAGTTGGTTTTGGAATATTCAAATGTTCCCACATTTTTTTTAAGGCAAATAAATGTCTATCAAATCCCTGACCTGTAAGGAAATATATTAAAAATAAATTTCCAATGTTATTAAATTTAAAAATGTTTCATAATTACCCATAATAGCTTCTTTACAAAGTTTATTGTGAATGTCACTACAACTGATTATTAATTTTTTCAATTCAGCTTTAGATAAATTTTTATTATTTTGAGCCATAACTTCACATGTTTGTTTTGTTTCCATTGTGCATGACCTCAGAGTTTCTGTTCGACCGTGTTTAAATGCTGCTGTACTACAAGATTCATATGTTGGTACTACACAATTTTTTTGATAATATAAAGCTAATTGGAAGGCTAACTGCATAATAGCATCAGGGCTTACACCAAATTTTTTACACTCATTTTTACCAAATTTATTAAATATCAAATGATCAACAGCTAATTCTTTGGTCCAGTCTTCAAATTTTTTTTTTTGTGTATTTACAATATTTTGTATTTTATTATCTATAACAAAATTGAGCTTTTTGACTTCTGCTGCTCCTTTTTGAAGATATTTAATATCATCAACACAGAATTTTGGTTGTTCTGTTATATCATTTTTTATATCCTTAAAACGAATAAGAAAAACTGATATAATTAACGTAAAAAAAATAATTAATTCATTTATAATTATTTACCTTAAGAAATCTGAGCACAGCAACTCCATCTCCCCAAGAATGTTCAAAATTTATTCCAGCATATCCATCTTTTGTAACAATTAGAGAAAATGATTTATCAAACCATCTATTTGTTCCATCCGCATGGAGATATGTCCTAATTAACTTATTATAGTCAGTGCCAATATTTATATCGTCTAATATCATTGTAAATATAGCAGAATCTATATTTTGCAGAATTTCTTGGTTACCAATTTGTGATAAATGTATTCTTGTGTTGGCCCATAAGTTACGGTCTAATGTTGTAAGTACACCAATTGGATTTTCATTAACTGATATAGTGGCTTCTAAAATAGATTTTAAACAACTAGCTATTTCGTTTGGTTTACAAATATAACCATTTTCATCTATTACATTAAAAGAGTAAAAGTGTCCTTTTCTCATGACAATAATATTTTTTCCAATTGGATTTTTATAGATTTGATCTTTTTCTAACTCTGGTAATCTTGTTGTATTGAATAGATTGTGATACTGTGACATATCTAATGGAAAAGCCTAAAATAAAAAATTTTTTATCTGAAATACAAGAAAATAATAGTATTTTTTAATTCTTACTAAAATTGTGATTTTACCTTAAACAAATAAGCACCATACCAACTGAACTGAGATGGTAGAAGTCTTGTAATAATATGAAATGCATTATTTCGAGCTGTTTCAGATTTTAAATAGAATATTTCTGGTTGTAAAACATTCTCTTTCAAAGACTTCATAAATCGTAGCGATGACACAATAAGATTTGTAGCTTTTACTAATTGTATATTATGTTCTGGATTTGATGCTGGCTCAAGAACTAGGAAAGGATTGTAATTGATAGGTAAAGGTTTACGATCTCGAAGATACATATCAAACCAAGGTTCACTGATGTAGCTAGTGTAACGATTTTTAGTATCTCTTTCAATTAATTTTTTATGCAATTGAATACCATCTTTGGTCAGAAATTCATTAACATAAGTTGCAGTCTTTTCCCACTGTTCTTTAGATAACAGTGGCCTTTGTGCATTTAGATACCTTCTACATGTATCCTCCAATTTTGGAATAGGTAAACGTGGTAGAGACGGTTGAAAATGCATTGTTGAAGTTTTACTTTTTTCAATATATTGATATTCTTCATCCCCTTTTGTATGTATACTTCTGTAATAAAAAAATACATGTACATAAGAATGCATCATCTTATATGTTACTAATACCTAATAATAATAATAATAATAATAATAATAATAATAATAATAATA